AATTTTGTTTTGTATTGTGTTCTGTTATGTTGTCATTGTTGTAAGACAGATCAGATTTGTTTATGTTTGAATTTTATGAATACTTTTAAGATTTGTACGGCAAATGAGATGTCTGCTCTGTTATAAAGGTTTAATGTGTTTCAGCACAATATTGAAGTGTTGCAGTTTAGTTTATTTTGGTGTTTTCTCCCTTGATTTTGTGTTGTGAATTCAAGATATGAAAAATATACGGTAGTTTGTGATACAATCTCTTCTAGATACATGCATGATACACATATGATACATATATGATACATATGTGATACACACATAATACATACATGATACAGTCATTTTGGATTACTGCACAGTTAGTTTCTTCACAATGAGTTCTGCAGTTTGTTTGGTTTCGAAATATGTATTGATGAAGCCACACTCTTATATTTCTAAAACTATTTGCATAGTTTTCTAGCTGCTACGATTGTTTTCCATTAGTTAGTTTTGTTATTACACAAATACAAATATGAGTAAGAGCTGATACACAGAGATACATAGGTGATACACAAATGATACAAATATGATACATAGCTGATATAACTTCTTTTTTAATCAAACAGAAGTATAATTTAAAAAATACATTTACAACACGATTTTAAATGATAGATAAAATATTTATTTATATCTAAAATTCAAATGACATTCTGCATTGATACAGTTCTTGATATATTGGATTCTTCTAAATCTTTGTGATATTCAGTAAAGTAAAATAACAAGTAATTCTAAGTATGAGCACCTAATTTTAAAAGGAGGTGTGACACTAAGTTTGACATATTTCATCCTCTCTTTGGATTATTTATACAAGTTTTCTTGTTGTGACCTTGTTCTCTATACTGTCCACATGAAATAGACTTTTTTCATTCCCTTTCAGATATTGGCTTGCACCTCCCCTTCCTTGGCCTTCCTATTGATTTAGTCATATCTGGTGGTAAGATTTTCATCTAAAACTTATGCAGGAATTTTCCATGTGCTTTCATCAGGAACCAGATAAATTGGAATTTCATAGGTCTTCAATAGGTACTTGCTGGTATAGTACGCCGAGCAATACTCAATGTGATCAATGTATTTGTATTTTAATACTGCCCAAGCATGTGCACATGGCAGCTCATCCAACTGAAACCTTCTACAGTTGCAAGTTCGATCGTTTAGGAGCACCATTCTCTGCTTACCCTTGTCAAGTACTGAATATAAGTAACTCGTCGAGGGGGTCACCTACAAAATTTATCAACTATCATTAGTGGTGACAAAGCAGATGTCCTCAAAAAACATATACTGGAGAGCCTACAAGATTCAAATAGCTTAATATCATATCAAACCAATCAATATTCAGCAGTGGGGTAGGCATAGATGCTACATTAAATTGAAAGCCTTATATACATGCTGGTAGTCACCTAAAAGTTGAACAATTTGCTTACATAATGACTAATTTCTTGCATGCCTCAGAAGAAACAGAGAATAGAGGTAGACGAACCAGCTTTGAAAAGAAACAGAAAACCTGAAGCCTTGGGTAACCGGGACAAGACCCTCAATTAATTGAACACTATAATATTGCTTTTGTGCAAACAATGAATATTAAAAAACATTAGCTTTAATCAATTTGGTCTCCCTGTGTCGTGCAGGTGGACACTAGTTTAACAGAATCACATAAAGGGTTCAAGATATAACAGATCCATGAATTCAACATGATTACATATTATATGCACAAGTATCTATAGATTTTAGTCATACCTTCATCCGATGTGACAATTTGAGATTGTCCATCATCATTGTATCATAATTTTTTTCCAAGATCAGTAAATGACTCTATTGTATTCTTTTGGTTTGTAACGTTCCATCGTCCGATCAATTGCCTTATATACTCCAACAAAGGTAGTACTGTGAGTTCCCTAGCAGCGTTGAGCACTGCATTGATCGACTTCGCAATGTTTGAAGTCATTGTCAATGTTCTGTTGACAGTGGAATGTGCTTTGGACCATCTTTCATACCCAACGTTGATTAAGTAATCTTTGACCCTCTTATCAATTCTTTCTACCTATGCCATGTGGTAATCAAACTTCTCACTGTGTATGTTTTCGCCATAGCAAAGAATATGTCTTTGAGCTGCAAATGGTTCTCTTGTAATTGTTTTTACTTTATTCCATAAATGCCATATGCAGACACAGTGAGGTACTTGTGGATACAATATTGTCGTTGCATTTTTAATGCCTTCATGCATGTTCGAGACTATGCACATTCCCTTACTTTCCCTAAATGCATCCTTGAACCTCGCAAAAAATACTCCCAGGAAGCATAATTCTCTGAAGCTACAAGTAACAACTTATTTTTTGCATAATTATGCTTCTAACATCAACTACGATATACATTGAGATACATAATTATACAGTAAATATTTTGATACCTGCTTTCACTTGATCTATGTACCTTAAATTGAAATTTTTCCTTTATTGCCAAGTACTTCATGACTTTGACTATCGTAGCCTTGTCTTTATAAATTTGACCTTCTTCTACATCTATGTGTTGAAGGTCAGTTATTATTGTATTTTCATCAGATTCTGTATCCTGCCAGCCTCCTCCATTCCCAAACTCAATCATATTAATTGTATAGCCATTGTATCTCTCCTGTATAACTGAGCTTTGTGCACACTCTGAGGTAATCACAACAGAATTTGAATTGTACCAGATCATATCCATATCCTTTTCACTCAATGTTATATAAAGGGGATACATTGTAAATTTCGAGCTTTTTTTCAACTCAAGATATACACATACACCCACATTATTATGTATTACTATTGGTGAAGAACCGTTTTGGACAATGTATTTGATTTCAATAACATTCAATGAAGTATCTATCATAAATTGTTTCGAAATCACGTCTATAAAATCTTCAAAACTTATATTTGGAGTAACTATTACAACATCGGCATTGTAATCTACAAAAATGTTATCAACATTCCATCGGCCACCATACTGAATAAAAATTGGTAAATTTACCATTGAAGTAGCTGAAATTAGGTCAAAACTCACTAATTCCTTGATTGATTTTGATTGTAGTTCGTAGTTCCTTCATCAAAGCTGTATCTACAGAGAAATTGCGAAAGAAAATTGTTGTTTCTACAGTGAAATTGATCGATTTTTGAGTGAAATTTGGAGCTCATTTTGAGAATTTTTTGGGAGAGAATGCCGTGATTTATAGAATGTAGGTCTCTGTGAAATTGATACGCTTGAAAAACAGGGAAGGAATGAAGGTCTTTAGCGTGATTCTCGGATGGAAGAATCCTTCCTTGCGTGTATCTCTAATTTTCGGCTACTTTTGGTAAGTGTCTAATTTTGGGCTAGAGGTTGGTAAGTTTGAGTTTTGGCTATTTCTGTACTTTTTCCAAAACAAAAAAGGTAAAAATAGCATGGGCTAGCAAGTTTTCGGACTGATAATTGAAAAATAGCCAGCGTTTGCAAAGTCATTAAAAAATAGCCACTATTTTGCTGCAACACGGACCGGTCCAGCATAATATACTGGAGATTGGTGCACCTGTGTATGAACTTCCAGCATATTATGCCGGAACTCCAACACGCGAAAAGTTCCAGCATAATATACTGGAGATTGGAGCACCTGTGTATGAACTTCCAGCATATTATGCTGGACCGATATATTATACTGGAACTCCAGTATATTATGTTAGAATATTTTCTGAATTTTGAACAGTATTTTCGTTCAGATTTATCTTTACATGAAAAGTGGCTAAATTTCGATTAATTTTAAAAATGTAGCTATTTTTCAATTACAACTTATAAATCTGACTATTTTTAAATTTCTCCCCCAAAATGGTGGGAAGTCAGTAATGCACTTTTATATTATATGGTGTCCTCCGGATGTATTGTAAGAAGTTTAAAAAAAGAGTATGATCACGAGCTCTTAACTCTGAGTTGTAAGTTTAATTTGTACTCCTAATATACAATGCCCAGTATCCTATTCCTTTAATTATATAACCATGGACTATTGGTTGGTACAAACTATTTATGTTGCAATCGTTAAATTGCTCCGAAGTCCGAACAATGGTTAATTTACAACTATTTATTTTTTATATTTATTTTCGTAGACTAAATTGATCTTGTCATAGCATTAAGAGAAAAAACAGAGGAAAGAGCACAGAAAAAGTGATGCCTTCTCATGCAATTTTATAGTCAAATTAGTTGACGAAATGGTACAAGAGTATATTACTGATCCATGCAAATTGCAATTATGCAACATTTGAAACTCCAGTATATCAAAAGGTCTATTCAAAGATTTCTGAAGTTCTTACATATTGGGGATATATATGATCACGCACTTGAATTTTAAAGTAATACTTCTAACTACTATATGCATGCCCACAAGATGAAACTATTTCGATTTCACGATTTGTAAAAGCATTGTAAGGAATAGTAAGAGGTGAATTTAAGATTTTAAGTAATTAGGTATAAGTTCATAACACTATATTAATTCATTATCTCTTTGCTATAAGAAATGTGAAAATAGTGAATGTGCTTATTCCTATTTGAGATCGTTCCATCCATTTATGATAAAATTTTACAATTCTATACATAATTGACACATGATCTTAATTAGTAAATACATCAATCATTAATAAAAATTATAATCTTCTCGTGTGAATGCAGTATGTATCTAAACGTTGTCGTTTCAAGTTAACTAAAAAGAACAAAAACAAGAGCGACATCTTGACATCTTATCTCCACTGTCCAGCTGTTTAACACGTATAATATATTCTCTTTTCGAAAAACGTTATAATTACATTCAACATTATTCAAAACATACAAAAAAATAGATTTTCAGCATCTGCCCTCCATAAAAAAAAAAGAACTGAAAAATAAATAATAAATAATTAAAAAGAAAAAGGAAGAAGTAGTGTACAAAGTTGCAAAGTTGTAAGAACATGTATATGTGAAAAAGAGAGAGAATATATAGTCCTAAAAAGGAAAAGAAAAGGCAGCTGAAAATCTCTCATACCCCAGTCCACTCTTCTCTTCTCTTCTCCTCTTCTTCAGACCCCCTTTCTCTCTCTTTTTGCTACAAAGTGAAAAATTTATGCTTTCATTCAATTTAACACTCTGCTTTATCTTCTCCCAATTTCAAACACCCAATAAAGCCAACACATTCTGAAACTTATAACCAAGCGGTGGCCAACAAATTTTCAATAACAAAAAAAAAAATGCCAGCCCAGAAACGCTATTTGTCGAATTATCAAGATGACAATAACAACAACGAAGACGATGATGAGAACTCCCCCCAGCATCAGCACAGCCGGCGGAAACAATCCCGACGTGTTGCCGGCGAACAAACACGAGCTAATATGGAAGAGCAACAAGTAGATGAGCAGGATGAAGAGGAAGATGACCAAGCCCAAGCCCAAGATAATGATGATGAGGATGATGATGATCAAGAGGAAATTAATCAATCGTCTGAAGATGGTTACGTATCTAAATTCCAAATCTGTGTTTAACATTGCCTTTTTTTACTGTTATGAATGCGTGTTCTTTTACCGTGCATTAATGTTTTTCGTTATTCTGCTTTTGTTGTTTAATGATTTGTTTGGCTTGATTTTATGTTGCAGATTCTGAGGGAAGTGGCACTGACCCTGAAGCCTTTGATGAGTAATTCTCTGCATGTTTAATTTTGTGTTGCCTTTTACTTTTAAACTTATTTGATTGTGATTTTATACTTTAATTTTGGCTAAGTTTCTAATGCACTTGTGCTGCTTGATTTAATGCGCAAGACATTGCTGCATGCCGTTCATTAGTTTATTATCTTGACTTCTAAAAGAAGACTTTTTCTATAAGTAGAGTACTGATTGTGAATTTGGAAATGCTATTGGGGTATTGCTTTTTAGCTGCAAAGAATCCATCTTTATAGCTTAATCACACTTATGTCTTACCTTTTTTTTCCCTTACATTTCTTGAAGCTCTACTTTTACATTTACTTGTATTCTCAATCTTTAGGTATCTGGACCTTGCCCCAAGTGTAAGAATTCGAGTTAAAGCAGTAATTTTGTTCAAATGAACGTCTTTCAAATTTGAAAACGACTGTAAAGATTTACAGTATGTTTATAAGGATGTAATCATGTAGTGTCGTGCATGCATGTCAGCAAGCTCATGCATGTATTTTTGTCAAGCTATTGTGCTTCACTGTCCTTGAGTGGTATCTAAGCCTATGATAGATGACCTTATCAGCCGAACCAATGCAATCTTGATTGTCCATTGGGTATCTTCTCTATTGCTTGAGCCAGAAGATGCTATAATTCTTCTTTCAGTGGCCTTTTATTTAGACGTTTGACCCTGTCACTGGTCTTTGTAGACGTTTCCATTTCATGGAGCATGGTAATGGTCTTGGTTGTGTCATTTTAGGAAGAGATTCGTCGCAGCTTGACTTTTCAAAATCTGATGTGTGAAATTAGGTTTTTAACTTCAGCAAAAGACAACTGCCGGGACGTCCTGAAGAGTCTGGAGAATTGTTTTTTGAAAACTTTTGACCTTTCACTTGTTCTAGCAGGCCATTGCTGCTCATAATTTTGTGTTTATCCACAATTATTCAATTTGAACTTACCTACAATTTCATGTAAATATCATAGACATTAAAGTAGTCACCTTTTTCTGACTTTAGTTTGCCAGATTTAGTTGTTTGAAGGCCATTCAAGATGGGTTTTTTAATGATTATGTTTGCTTTTTAATCAGTGTTTTAAAAGGCGTGGGCGTAAGGCGAGGCGTTTTACATATGCCTTAGCGAAGCTTAAGCTTCGAGGCACGGGGCGTAAGCCCCATAGGTATTTAATTTTTAATATTTTATAAAATAATATAATTACAGTAAATATTTATAAAAAGGTAAAATTACATAAAAAATTGAAGAAAACTATAAATATGTGAAATATATATATAGATGTGCTCCATCCCCACAAAAAACTAGTCAAAACAATCTATCATACGCTACTTAGAAGCACAAGTAACTTGAGTCGAAAAGAATAAAATTTTCTACATGGAGGAACAAAAAGGATGACTAACCTGCAATTTGAACTTTGAACTTACTGCTATGAAGGAGAATGTAGTTCTCTTTGTATTTGTAAAAATAATTGAATATTCGTTGCTTTTAGGAGATATTAGCAGACTAGCGGACAAGATAAAGAATTGGGAAAGACCATGAATTAGGGCTTCAATCAATAAAAAAGGTCTTTACTTTTAAATTTAATACATTTCAGTTTCTTTTTAAAACTTTTGAGTAATTAACAAGCTGACTTTTGAGAATTTGGGTATTATATGAAGGACTTATTCAACAAATTTTGTTTTAATTTGAAAAAGTCTCTTGGGCTTACGCCTCACTAAAAAAACGCGCCTCAAACCCCCGGGCGTACGCCCCGAATTGCTAGGCGTACGCCTCTTGAGACTTTCGCCCCACACCATCGCCTCGGGGCGTTTTTGGTGCGCGGCGCCCCAGGGCTCGCCCCGAAAACGCCTTTTAAAACACTGCTTTTAATTTACGTAGTGCTTCATATTGGTCCCCTTGAGGGACATGTCACTTTTAACCTTTATCTAGACAAGAAGGTTAGACACTCAATTTGCCAGACGACCGAATGGTCATTTTCCGATTATATCTGTATTTGGACATGCAAGGTTTAAATTTCGCCCATACAAAGACACTACTTCTATTGAACGTGCAGGGAATACTTTTGCCTTACTGTAAGAATTGTGAGTATGAATTATATAATGCTCAATTATATAATTGTTCACGAAATATATTGTCAGGTTCTGCTATCATCGTGTTAACAACCAAATAAGTTATCTGTACTATATGTGTGGAAGATATTTTATTGTTGAGTATATATGTCGTTTAGTGACAGGAATAGTTGTCTCAACATCTTTGAACTGGAATTGGAATTCACAGAAGTCTCATACTTCTGTGAGATATTGATGTATTTATAATATGTATTACTGGATGAATGGAAACTCTTTTTTCAATTTTCAGGATTTGCTAGGCTTGTTAGATTTCATAGAGATGTAATGTGATCAAGTCTAGTTTTTTGTGTTTGCTGCAGTATTCCCTTGATACTGCTATAAAATCTTACCTTATCCAAAGAAAAAAAGTCTCATACTTATGCAGTGAAAGTTACTAGTTCAAGGTTCCTTCGATTTTCACAATGAAATACTTAACTTGTTAACTTTTGTCATGTTTACTTTTTTTTTTGGTCATGTTTACTTAGTAATGAAAATGTAGTTATGCTAGAGGATTACCAGTATAGAGGAAACACACCATTTTCTTGTAAACATGTCCTGTGAGTGTTTTCTATTTGGTCCATGGTTAAAGCAGCATCACCTTTTTTGGCCCTTGACACTCTAGAGGATCCCTTTAAGAAATATTTTGTGCAAAAGGAATAAAAGAAGTAGCTTTTGGAAATCTTTTAGCTCAACAAAACCTTTTCTACATTTAGTAAGAAGTATATTTAAAGAACTCCCAACTTCTTGGTTTCATGCTGTTGTCTTTGAGGTGTGGGAGACTATTGGATTTCATCATTCATTTTGCCTTCCTCTCAAATCTGACCTCAAATATTGGTCATGAATTTTCTATAAACCTGAATCGCCTATTTCAGTTCTTCGGTCTTTTACTTTAGTAATCTTCAGGATCAGTAGTTTAGCTGGTTGTGAAACTGATAATGGGTGGCTAAGGATTTTGCTTGACCCTGGGTTCTTCCGGTGGAAATTCCATTTTTTCTACGATTTTCAATTGCCGGATTAAAATGGATACATCTGAAAGGGAAAAGGAAAAGCTTCTGCTGGGTACACATTTCTCAATTCAAGATGGGCCAATAACATATCCAGATTATGCTGGCATTATTTTTCACCAATATAAAGTCAATACTTCTGTTGAACATACAGGGAATACGCCTTGTAAGACTTGTGAGTATGAATTACATAAAACTCAAATAGGTTGTCCTTTTGCATGCTGAATTGAAAGTTAAACTGTACAAATTGTAATCAGTCTTCTCCAGAATATAGAACCTTATTTATCTCACTGATTATCAAGAGATTCTAAATGGCATCTTTAATGTATTGTCTTCTTGGTAGAATGATCTGCATGATGCAGCATTTCCGTTTTCTCGTTATTTAATGTGGTTTTATAACTTTATAATCTTTGCCTGTCTGCAGATTGATCGCTGTGTCACGATCTGAGATTCGCACCAATGTACAATGTCCTATATGCTTAGGTACTCTCTATTATTTTATTTTGTCATATTTGAATATTTACAGCTTCGAGTTTTTTGCTAGGATTTCGACGAGAGAAGTTTTTTCGCACAATTATTTCAAGTTCGTAAAGATGTAGAATGTTCAATATGTCTAGGTATATTTGCTTTCACATCATTCTATGTTTTTTTATGTTCTATATTTTGGTTATCCAGTCCAAAAAGCTTTATGATATTTGTGAATTTTACCCCTTTTTATATAACTGTGGTGTCCGGGCCCGCTTCAGTGCACCTCGATGGTACCGTGTACCTCCCACCAGCACAAGTACTGGGTGACTTTGCCTAGTAAAGCTTAGGCAGATGGGAAGAAATTACCTTGTGTTTTTTGTCTCTGTTAAAATTTGAACCCTGGTTTCCAAGGTTTGCACCCACTCCATTGATCACTAGGTGCAAATGCCATAGTTGGGATTTGAACATGTGATCTAATGCAACTTTTGAACCCCCTTTACCACCACTAAAATATTCCGTATTTTATCATTTGACTTTGCTCTTCACACATAAGTTTGTTTTTCAGAAGTTTGCTCCTCAAGATATCACTTTGTTCGTTTTCTTGCATCCCTAGACTTCAGTGGATAATTCAAGATTATGGGAAAAAGCTGATATTTCCCCAAAGTTAAAAGTTGAAAAGACATATCAGGTGTGAATTTTCCATATCTTGTGCGAACTAAACTCTCCAGCCACCATGACAAGTCTTTGATAACTCTTGTCTAAATCACAAACATATACAATTCTTTTTTTGGACAAGACAACCATATCAAATTGTTATTCACTTGTTATACTTCAAGTATATGCATATTTGTTTTTCTAAAAATGTGTACAGTTCTATACCCTTGGCAAACCAATTACACTGTTGTATGGCCAATATTTGCATCTTGTCACTTTGGTGCACTTCTGAAGCTTTTGGAAGTTTGACTATTTCTGTGGTATTAATGGCTGCACTTGGTTGCACAATAAATTATCAGGAAGGCTTACTGTTGCTGGTCCTCTTTTCAAGAAAACTATGCTTGTTTGTAGATCTAAGATGCTTCTACCTATTCCTTCAATTCTATTAATGTTTTTAAGATGTATTCTCATGTAATTACTATTATCATTTTATCATCGAAAACAGTCTCTCTCTGCTCTAGAATTGTAGATGTTGCTACTGCTTCCACTTCTACACAATTTCATTAAGAAATACAAGTTCAAGTATAAAGGTCACCTATGTGTTTTCAGAAAACAAATGCCACCATTGAAGTTGATTGTTTCAATTGGGATCTTTGCCATATCACTAGTGCTGGGATCGATCCAGGACTAGTGAAACACCATCATTTAGTTGAAGGCCTGTCTATCTGCATGTAATTCTTAGAACTGTCAGTTTAAAAAGAAATGGCAAATATCTGAGTTATAAAATATTATAGGTAGTTCATGAAACTTGACAGGCATTGGGATATTTCTAATTGTATGGTGATGCAACAAATGACATCTAAGCACTGGGAAGAAAAGGGATCAAAAGAAGACATCTTGAAACTTTTCGTGTTATAATATTTACCAGGCTAGTCATGTTAGTTGGGCAATTTTTGTCACAGGCTAGAATTGTGCTAATCATTCACATTTGATCCTCACGATTCTTGTTCTAGTTATTCTCAAATATCCAGTAAGATACAAGCATGAACATTCTTGGATGAAATGTGTATTCGATTATACTTTGTTGAGAATGTCTTCAAGATGCTTAAGGTAAATTATGTGTGTTTGGCACCTGATTGAATTTAGAAGTGATCAGAATCATCTATGGGCTTACAGTAGTGATGTCAGGATTTTCTTTCTTTTGGTTGTCCGCGAGTAAAGAAAGTATCAATAGTGATACTGTACAATTTGGTGTGGTACAAGCTTAAGCTTGTGCTGGTGGCTCCCAAAGCCGTTTCTGCAACTGGCCGTGTAATCAAGGCAAAGTTAAGGATCACCAAAAACGTCACTCTGGAGATGATACCCTCGTTAGATGTGAATGTATATACAAGGTGGAGTGAAAACTTGTTAGAGACTTGAAAGCTGTAGCTTCTATTTCCTTGTAATGAATAAGCAACTTCCGCCACATGGCTGCTATCCCAATAACTTGATATTTGGTTATAATCGTACTCCCTCCACTCTCTTTCATTTCCCATTTCCTAGCGTCGAACCTGGCAATGGCACCTGGGCATTGTGTGCTTTTGCTGAGACGAATGGAGTATGCCATTTTGTAAAACTGCCACAAATCTATAATCTCTTTCCTTTTCTGGGAAGTTTCTCAAGATGTCAGAGAGTTTAACTTCAGTTTACTGTGACAAAGGGAATACTTGAAAAGACTGATAATTTTACTTCTCTGAAGGGCGTGTAAAATATGAGGAAGTTCTGCTACATTAAAAACAAATCCAGGCTCTTCTCCCAAAAAGAATTCCTTCATTTTCCGTTTAGAGCTTTGACAAGGGAACTTCTCAATATGATCTTCTATCCTTTCTCCCCTGAGTTTTATCATGGTAACTTGTGCAATTGTCTTCCACCACAGTTCTAACTTCTACATAGGAGGGATAAACTCTTAAGTGTGTTTTCTTGTGCCTGATATTATCATAAAGTTGAACACTACTTGACTATTCAGCTGGTTCACCTGAGAAATCTCATTTTCTTATCCTTTCTATGTTTCCAGCTTCAGCATCATCTTGAACTTTCCTGGATTGACTCGTTATCAGCAGTATCTTCAAAAATAACTTCTTTGTTTTTCCTCCTCAAGCAGCAATTGTTAGTGTTTCATGTTTTCTGCAAAATATTGGAAAAGCATAAGTACCAAATACCTTCATAGGAAAAGGAAAACTAACAAACACAGCTTCATATGTTTACTTTCTTTTTTTTCCCCATCAATATTTGCTGGTTACTCTTTGGACTTAGGTAACTTTACGAACAACTAAAATGACAATAATCTTCTCAATTAACCACGTTGTATTCCTGCTCTTACCTTTTCCTAAATACTATGAAGAGCCAATTGTTTCCAGTTCTGGCTTAGTCTCTATGGTGCTCTACATCAATCAATCACAGCTGACTGAAGTTTCACTGCTTAATACTATATTTGATTACTAATTTGCTATGTGTTGATTGAAGACCACAAAGTCCATTAGTTTTTTTACCATTGGGTGTCCGCCTGCATGCACAGGTATTATCAAGAGAACTCGGGTTGTGATGGGATGCCAACACCGTTTTTGCAGAGAATGCATAGATAAATCAATGAGACTGGGGTATGCAATGCAATAAATCAGATTCGTGATTCAACTAGTCATTAGAAGCCAAGAACTACCTGATGACTATTGTGGATTTTACTTGTAATCGCCCTTTTACAGGAATAATGAATGCCCTGCATGCCGCATACATTGTGCTAGCCGACGGTCATTGAGAGATGATCCTGGATTTGATACCTTAATTGAGGCAATATATCCAGATGTTGAGAAGTACGAAGAGGAGGTATGCCCTTAATTAATATTTTGCAACTTAATGAATCCTCTCCCCTGCCTTCAAAATGAAAATAAAAAAGAAGGGGCATTATGTGAAAAAGAAGAAATACAAGACCACTAGAGGCCTCTATTCCTTTCCTCTTCCTTTAGATGAAGCTTGTTTGCTAGTTTGTGCATTATCTTTTTTCAGGAGCTTGTCTTTCTTGAAGAGGAACGTGCACTCAATGAGCAGGTCAGTTAAAGAAGTGTCTGAAATCCTCATTCTTGAATAGACATGCATATGTTACACTTATCATGTTAGTAGTTCTTGTTTTTTTGTGTATCCTCTTCTCTTTACAGTGAGGATAATATATATATATATGTGTGTGTGTCAACGTTGTTACTGGAATAGAACATACATATAAAGGTGATCTATGCATAGTCATTACAGGTCCATGCATGTTGAAAATAGTTATGAAATAATAGAACTGAATCTGTTGATGATATTTTCTTTGAAATGTTATAGATTCTGTTTTTTCCCCCTTATAAGTGAGATCTAAAAGATGTCATGCTGTAAAAAACTCTTATTTTGGAAACTGAGAAGGCTACTACGTCCAAATCACATGCTGTGTTCTTAGAAAATGAAGATCTCAATGTGTCCGTCTAAGCTCGATATCTCACTCCAAGTGTCCTATTGACACACTTGTTATTCCAACTTTTAAAAGGTTATGTTCTCCTTTTATTTGAGAATCTGAGAATGAAATGAAAGACTTTTTTACCATTGTTTGCGAAACACGTGTTTTTAGGTGTGATAAAATATGCCTATCCATTAGTCCAATTTACTTTCATGATTTACCTAGTAGATTATACTTTTACCGTGCACATAAGCTGTTTAACTAAAATGGTATAGAGCTATATTTATTCTTGCTTTCTGATTGACACTTCACTATATGTTTCGGGGGCTAGACATATAGACCTGATACATGCCTTGTGTTTTATTGGACAGATTCAAGCATCCATTGCCCAAATTTCTCAACGTCAATCTGAAGCACTAATTAAGAGGCGCAAAGTTGGTAAAGACATAGCTGCTTCCTCTGCACAAAGAACACCTCGCAACTATCACAATGCTTATTCGAGAAGAAGAAGAAACAGTCAGGGGGCTGAACCTGAGCGATCTGATCCAAATGAGAGTGAAAATGATGATCATGACAGGAACAAAGATTCACCCGCCAAGGATGAGCGTGGAACACAAACCAAGTTCAGGAAGCGCCGGAGGCGCAAAGGAGCTCCGGCCACCCCGACTTCTCCTTCAGCTGCAAGTCCAGACGGTGGACACATTGAAACCGCAGCAGAACTACCCAGAGAAACAGTAGGCAGTTCTCCTGGACCTGCATTGAAGCCTGAAACACTTACTTGGGGAAGAGGTGGTGCTCGAAGTCACAGTCGACACGGCAGTGCCAGCAGTAGCAGAAATGCTCGTAACACTCGAATATCTAAGTTGATTGATTATCTTGAAAGTGTCCGAACAAATGATGGTGAGGTATTATAAGATTCTCTGCATCCTTGTTCATCTGTCTCAAGAATGATATTGTCCTAGCTTCTCTTATAACATCTCAAATGAGCATGAGCTATGTCTGGTTCTTTCTCAATGGTCACTTGTCCATAATTCACTGTTCTTATTTTGCAGTTAAATATCCATCTTGAGCTTATTCCATTGGACAAACAAACAACACCAAGTCTGAAAAAGCCCCATCTCTGCTGCAGGCCAAGTACATCAGTTGAACACCTCTACGAAGTAAGAATTCCTTTCCACCATACTGTATTAAGAAGAAAAAAAATTCCTTTCCAGTATCCTTGTCAAAAATAGATATGAAACATAATCATTTGGAATCCTTAGTGACCTAAAACATGGAATTCTCTATATTAGCTGCAAGACAAATTCAAACTTTTTGGGCTGCATTATCTTATTCCTGATCATAATTATAGGCACGTCTGATTCAGCTATAATGTCTCAATGCTGATGATACATGTTTGTTGTTCTATGGTTATGCCTAAATATTTTCAGAAAGATTTTGCTTCCATAGTACTTGCAGGCCGTTTATTTTTCCGTTTTCCCTCAATGACAATTTTGGTGATGATATTCTGAGTGCAGTTTGTTGCTCAGGAGACAAAATCACAAGCAAAAGATGTTGAATTACTGGCAATAAAGGACAATACCACTGTTAACCATTCAACCTTAATGGATGCATCAAATATGCTAGCCCGATTTGTCAGGGGGTCCGATGTTACTCTGCAAAACTTGGAAAGGCGAGAAACTTTGGAAGGAATCAATTCAAGTTGCCCATTAAATAAGAATCTGGTGAGTTGGAAATACAAATGAGGAATCAAGTCCAATTGTTTTGTCTTATAAACTTCATGTTTCCATTAGTGTCCCATTTGAACAATCCTTTCTCTGTTGTTTCAGATCCTTGCTTACGTGCAAAAGAATTCAGCCGATATGTGAGTTCCTTGAGTCGGCTTTGTAGAAGGATGAGTGCAGAGGAGAAAAGAAGATCGTCTGTTCATTGGAGAACATGTGGAACCTATATTTAGTTTTCCCTGAACAGCAATAGTCTGCTAGTTTCCAATTAATTCTGCAGAATATAATCTTTCTTGTATAATAAATTCTGTGTTTTGTTTCCTTTTTCCTTTTACACAAATTTTTTGGTTTGTTCACTGACAAGCATTGAGATTATGTTTGATCTCCTTATAGAGCGACGGTAATTTATTATAAGGAGATCCCGACTTGATATAATCTTCAATGCTTTTTCCATCTTCTCATTTTTTCCAAGTGTAATACAAAACGCTATACAAGAAATATTTATTCAACGAGATTCCGACTTGATATTATCTTCATGAACACCACCAATTCACAGAAACAGACACTAATAGATTATATATTGGTTTTACTACTCTTACTTCCTGCTTCCTCCTCTTTCTTATTTGATATATTAATACCAAACAAAAGAAAGAAAAGGGAAAAAAGCCTATTGTTAATATATATAAACTATTTGGTTTGTATATTCAGTTCTCAAAAGAAAGGGCACATCTTTTACAGACAAACACATTATCGGTTCCAGCCATTTGGTAGCATTGTCCCTCGTATGCCCATGGGGTTCAAGGATTCTTGAACAATTCATCCCCAGTTTTGAATCACTTAAACATTTTCAACCTCATTGGGGACCATCTTTCTCTTTCATTGTCTTCCTAAGAATTTACTAGTTCACCTCATCTTGGAGGCAGCACTAGAAACTGCTGCTGCATAGGGACACGCCATTTTTCTCCTTTCTTGCCTCTTAATTATCAGCAGCTTGGGTGATCTTGGTTTTGTCACTGCTCTGGAAGACCTGTGAATAGACGTGCAAAAAAAAAAAGGTTCAGTAGTTGTTCCAATTTGTAAAAGAGGAAAAAAGAACATGGTAGAATTTTTTTTTTAAAAAAAAAAACATGAATAAAGGTCTTGCAGCAGGATTTTACATACTTCTGTGGGAGGAAAGGATGATCAAATTTAGGCACAGGTCTTGCATGAGGCACCAAAGTTTTCCGTAACTGTTTCAGGGCCTTCTCCTCCTCCATCTAACCAAATTCAAGTAAAAATTAGTCTAAGCACATCGTTATAGTAGCTCTAAATAACACCAAGAATATGCAATACCAGTCTAGCAGCTTCTGCCTCCTCCCTATATTTTTGATACATTAGTTCTTTCTCCTTGATCTGCAAACCAACTTATAACATGAGTGCTATAGGCTTAGTTCCCCGAGAAAGTTACATGCAAATGTAAAATGTGTTACCTTCTTATCAAACTCAGCTCTACCAACAGCACGGTGATCTACATGTAGATTAAATCCCTCAACTTGAGTTAGTGGTTTACGTTCTTTCTCAGGAACTGGAATTGGATCCCTACACAATTTAAAGGGTGGGAAAGCATTATTCATCTTTCAGATTCACTAGGAAAATAGATAGTAGATAAAAGATTCATTCTTTGAGGTCTCTTACTCGATCAAGACTGGTTGCGCTCTAAAAGTCCTCATCTTTGCTTCTTCCTTTTCCAATCTTTGCCGTTCTTCTAATTCCCTCTGCATCTCCCTTTCATGCCTGAGCAGACTCTCCAGTTGGAAAGGTTCTGGTCTTGTACAATGCTTAGGTTCTGGTTTTGGTGGAATCTGGCAATAAAACATAAGAAATTGAGTGCACATAAAGTCTTCCCACAAAATGGATATTACAATAGTTGGTGTTTTACATACCACAGGGTAGTCAGTTGTGTAAGGATATGGAATTGCTTTGGGAACTCTAGACCTCTCTTCCTCAATCTGTTTCTGTAGAAGTTCAGTGAACAGTTTCCTCTCCTTCTCTGCTCCTCTTTCCTGGATACTGTAATGAGGTGCTGAAAAAGTAGAAAAAACTATTTTAAGAAAAAGTAAAAATATGGGGATTTGACGATTTTGGATGGGAGATGGGAATGAATATGCGTGAAGAAGGGTGGCTGTCACGACCCAAACTCCCTCCATATAATGTCGTGACGACACCTAATCTCTACGACTAGGTAAGCTTAACAAATTGCGGAAAATAACAAAAACGAAAGTAAAACTTGACAACTAACAACAGTGGATAACTAAATAACTAGTAACAATGCCGCTCGGCATGTACAATAACTAATACTCTATAAATTCACAGTCTTCCCAAAATCCAGAACATCGTAAGTCACAAGCTACAGGAGAAAACTAGTATCTCTATACACCAGAGTCTAATAAAAGAAGTATAGAAGGTAATGGACACAGGGGAGAATAAAAGGGGACTGCTAGGTCTGCGGACGAGAGCAGATGTACCTTGAAGTCTCCGGAACAGCCGCAAATACACAACAAGCGAGGCTGGTATGATGAACCTGGATTTGTACATGAAAACATGTGCAGAAGAGTAGCATGAGTATACCACAATGGTACCTAGTAAGTGCCAAGCCTAATCTCGGTCGATTAGTGACGAGGTCAGGTCAGGCCCACTGGTAAATAATAAATAATGCAGGAAAATATACAGTATAATAAGAGACTAAAATTTAACAAAAGGAAATACAGCAAGGCAACAATACGACACACAGGGGCAAGAAGAAAGGGATCTCCCGAGATACCGTCTCGTAGTCCCAAAATAAATATACAGGGAGAATTCTCGAGGTACCGGCTCGTAGTCTCAAAAGTAAATATACAGGAAGAAATCTCGAGGTACCGCCTCGTAGTCTCAAAAGTAAATGTGCAAATGTGCAGGGAGAACTCCCGAGGTACCGCCTTGTAGTCTCAAAAGTAAATGTGCAGGGAGAATTCCCGAGGTACCGTCTCGTAGTCTCAAAAGTAAATGTGCAAGGAGAACTCTCGAGGAACCGCCTCGTAGTCTCAAAAGTAAATATGCAGGGAGAACTCCTAAGGAACCGCCTTGTAGTCTCAAAAGTAAATGTGCAAGGAGAACTCTCGAGGAACCGCCTCGTAGTCTCAAAAGTAAATATGCAGGGAGAACTCCTAAGGAACCGCCTTGTAGTCTCAAAAGTAAATGTGCAGGGAGAACTCCCGAGGAACCGCCTCGTAGTCTCAAAAGTAAACACACAACTCAAACTGATAAATACAATAGTTAACAACAAGATTTCTACAGTTATACTAGTAAAGAACAAGGAAATGCAGGAAATCAACTGGGCATACTTCACAGAGTTCAAATAAGCAGTTAAAGCACATAGACATACGATATTAGGCTAAACAAGATAACTACACGTATTGGAATAGTTCAATTAAGAATGAAAACAGACTAATACTCATTTAAACGGTATAACTCAAATTAAAGGAAAAACAGTTGGTACTCTTAGTAAAATAAATCGGGATTTATAACAAATAGCCCGTGTACGTACTCGTCACCTCACGTACACGACGCTCACATATCACAACAGTACCAAATCTTAAGGAAATTTCCCCCACACAAGGTTAGGCAAGCCACTTACCTCGAACCAAGCTCAATCAATCGGTAACAATGCCTTTTCCACGAATATCCTACTCCGAATGGCCCAAATCAAGCCAAAATTAATTACATACTATAAATACAACTATAAGAAACTAATCTAATTAATGAATCAAAGCTAAAGCAAGAATAAACATAACCAATACTCTATAAATTCACAGTCTTCCCAAAATCCGGAACATCGTAAGTCACAAGCTACAGGAGGAAACTAGTATTTATATACACCAGAGTCTAATAAAAGAAGTCTAATAAAGCACGTAGACATGCGATATTAGGCTAAACAGGATAACTACACATATTGGAATAACTCAATTAAGAATGATAACATACTAATACTTATTCAAACGGTATAACTCAAATTAAAGGAAAAATATTTGGTACTCTCAGTAAAATAAATCGGGTTTTATAACAAATAGCCCGTGTACGTACTCGTCACCTCACGTACACGACGCTCACATATCACAACAGTACCAAATCCTAAGGGGATTTCCCCCACACAAGGTTAGATAAGTCACTTACCTCGAACCAAGCTTAATCAATCGGTAACAATGCCTTTTCCACGAATATCCTACTCGGAATGGCCCAAATCTAGCCAAAATCAATTACATACCATAAATACAACTATAAGAAACTAATCTAATTAATGAATCAAAGCTAAAGCAAGAAATTAGAAAATCGCCCCAAAAAGTTGACCCGGACCCACGTCTCGAAATGGGGTAAAAGTCACAAAATATGAACACCCATTCACTCACGAGTCCATCCATATAAGAATTACTCGAATCCGACCTCAAATCGCCTTTCAAAACTCAAACTTTCAGTCTAGGAAGTTTATACCATTTTTCCTCGAATTTCCAAATCAAATCCCTAATTAGATGATGAAAATAGTAATAGATTCATGAAATATAGTACAATCTGGGTTAGAATCACTTACCCCAATAATTTCCTAGAAGAAACCTCAAAATATCGCCTCACACCGAGCTCTCAAGGTCCCAAAGATGAAAATGGAAAACAAACCCTCGAACTTGATCTTTTCAGCCCAGCGATTTTACATCTGCGGACCTACTGTCGCACCTGCGGAATTTCCATCGTAGGTGCGGAGATGGATTAATGTCCAAAGATCCGCTTATGCGGACCAGGGCACGTACCTGCGGGCCCGCTTCTGCGGATGACCTTCCGCATCTGCGACTCTAGCCATGCCGCCCCTTTTTGCTCCTACGGTCAATCCTCCACATCTGCGAATGCGCAGATGCGGCTCCCATTTCACACCTGTGCTCACAGACCAAGATTTACCAAACCGAACCTACGCTCTTCCTTCCGCACCTGCGGTCTCCCCTCCGCAGGTGCGAAAACACCAGAAACCAGAAAATCTTCAGCAACTAGCCTAAGTCCAAATTCAATCCGTTAAGCATCTGAAACACACCTGATACCCCCGAGATCTCAACCAAACATACCAACCAGTTCTAAAACACCATACGAACTTAGTCGAGCCCTCAAATCACATCAAATAATGCTAAAAACACGAATCACCCTCCGATTCAAATATAATGAACTTTGAAACTTCAAACTTCTAAAATCAATGCCGAAACCTATCAAACCAAGTCCGATTGACCTCAAATTTTGTACAAAAGTCATATTCAACCTTACGGACCTACTCCAACTTCCGGAATAGGAATCCGACCCCGATATCAAAAAGTCCACTACCGGTCAAAATCTCCAAATAATCGACTTTCGCCAATTCAAGCCTAAATCAGCTATGGACATCCAATTCACAGTCCGGACATGCTCCTAAGTCCAGAATCACCCAACGGAGCTAATGAAACCGACGAAACTCTATTCCGGAGTCATCTTCACACAGTTCCAACTATGATCAAAATCTTCAAACTTAAGCTTCCGTTTAGGGACTAAGTGTCTCAATTCACTCCGAAACTACAACAACAACCTCCCGGCAATTCACATAAGCAGAAAGAGATATGGGGAAAGCAGTAAACAGGAAATCGGGACTATAACTCTTAAAACGTCCGGCCGGATCGTACTAGTGGCTCCTCGCGAGACTGGATGATCCTACTGTATGTTCCACTTATAGGGAGCAAAACCAAGTAGCTGATATACTACTTAAGTCTTGATGAAACATGGACACCATAACTGACATCACTATTTTTGCACAACCTCTATCCTTTATCCAAACAGCTTTGGAGCACGACCGCTCATGCAAACTTTTTGTCAGAAAGTTTCCCTCACAAACCGTACCACAATCACTCAGTTTGCAAAGTCCTCTTGGATTATCTTTTTGTTTATCCCGTGATACGGGAACCACTAGTAGTAGTTTTAGTTACCCCGACCCCCCATGTAATGACCCCCCCTTAGTGGTCAACCCCATAGGTCACTGTGATGACCCAAAAGGTTATCTTTAAATTTAATAATTATTTCTATGTTCTAAGACCTCAAAAAGCACTATTCATCATTCCTCGACTTGCGTGATGCAACATGGACACCACAACTGACATCACTATTTTTGCACAACCTCCATCCTTTATCCAAACAGCTTTGGAGCACGACCGCTCAGGAAAACGTTTTGTTAGAAGGTTTCCCTATCAAACCGTACCACAATCACTCAGTTTGCAAAGTCCTCTTGGACCATCTTTTGTTTATCCCATGATACGGGAACCACTAGTAGTAGTTTTAGTTACCCCGAACCCCCCATGTTATGACCCCCCTAAGTGGTCAACCCCCTAGGTTATCTTTAAATTTAATAATTATTTCTATGTTTTAAGACCTCGAAAAACACTATTCATCATTTATCGACTTGCGTGCACAGTCCGTATAATTTTTCGGAAAGTTTTTATATGAAAAATTGATTAAAATATGAAATAAAGAATTAAAACTCAACTGAGTTGACTTTGGTCAATATTTTGAGCAAATGGACTCGGATCAGTATTTTGATAGTTACGGTAGATCCGTATCGTGATTTGGGACATGGGCGTATGCCCGAAATTTAATTTGGAGGTCCCTAGCTTGAATTATCGCCAGTTGGCGAAAACTAGAAGCCTAAAGGCTTAAAAATTTTAAAGTTTGACCACAAATTGTCTTTTATTGATATCCGGGTCAGATTTAAGTTTTGAAAATTTTCATAGGACAGTTATGTTATTTATGACTTGTCTGTCAAATTTGGTGATAAACAGAGTTGATTTGACCTGATTCAGACGTTCTGTTGTGAAAGTAGAAGTTTTAAAGTTTTCTTGAAAATTTCATTTGATTTGGTATCCGATTCATAGTTCTAGGCATTATTTTGGTATTTTGTTCGTGCGAGCGAGTTCGTACAAGATTTTTGGACTTGTGTGCATATTTGGTTTGGAGTCCCGAGGGTTCGGGTGAGTTTCGGATAGCCTATAGATCTTAATTCTTTGAAAAATCTGGTTTTTGGGACTTCTGATGGTTTCTGGTGTCATGTGCTTCGCGAACGTGACGCCTTCATCGCGAACGCGAAGATGAATTTGGGATAGAGGAATTTTTTTCATCGCGAACGTGAAGCAACGGGGGGCCTTACCCTTCGCGAACGCGACCAGCTTCCTGCGAATGCGTAGGCTTGTGATCTGGGGAGGGGGATCGTTGTTTCTTCTACGCGAACACGAGTATTGGCTCGCGAACGCGAAGGCCAGGGGGGAGAAGCCTTCGGGAACGTGATAGGCCCTTCGCGAACGCGAAGAAGGCCTGACGCCGAGACCTTAAAACAGAACCAAAACGAGATTTTTCCTATTTTTCACAAACCCTCAATTAGAACTTGGTTTAGGGGCGATTTCAAAGGAGTTTTTCACGATTTCGAACTGGGTAAGTGTTCTTTATCATATAGTAATTATATTTCATAAATCTAAGTCTATATTCATCATTTATTTCGGATTTAGATGGGAGAAATTCGAATTTTTGTAAAACTTTTCAAAAACGAAAATTTAAGATTTGAAAGTCCATTTGACATCGGAATTTGATAATTTTTGTATGGTTGGACTCGTCTCAGAATGGGTGTTCGGATTTTATAAATTTTTTCGAGATTCGAGACGTGGGCCCCACTGATGAGTTTTGAGATAAATTTCGGATTTTAATCCGGAAAATTAGTAAGTTCATATGGAATTAATTCCTACGATTTGTATTGAGTATATTGAATTGTTTATGACTAGATTTGAGGATTTCGGACACGAATTCACGAGGCAAAAGTTTATTGGATTCTTGAATTTGGTTGCAAAGCGAGGTAAGTGTCGTGGTTAACCTTGACTTGAGAGAATAGAACCCTTAAATTAATTGTTATGTGAAATGCATGTGAATGACGTATAGGCGAGGTGACGAGTGTCTATACGTCATCAAATTAATTGTTTGCATAATTACTTAAAAAATCATAAATCGTTTTAAATTATGAATTAATTACTATATTAATTGTTTCTCTCGTGTTCTTTGATCAATATCATGCCTTGAATCCATGATATAATTGCTACATACTTATTTGATTTACGTGACTTGATTGCCACTTGATGTTTAGCATACTAATTATTAAAATACCTATTACATCCTTAATTTCCTCAATTAATTGCTACTTGTCATCACTTATTTCTAATAAATTATAATTATTGTATGCTTGTTGTCTTATAATTTCATATTAATTATTGCATTTATTGGAGTAATTTCTTTTATAAGAATTGGTAAATGAATATATTGGAGGAGCGGGTTGCACGCCGCAACGGAAATGAAAGTGAATATACTGGAGGAACGGGTTGCACGTCGCAACAGAATTGATTGAAATGAATATATTGGATGAGCGGTTTGCACGCCGCAATAGAATATATTGAAAAGATATATTGGGATCGGGTTGCACGCCGCAACAGAATTGAATATGAATATATTGTGGGATCGGGTTGCACGCCGCAACGAAAATTGATTGAAATAATAATTGGTTATGACTGCTGAGTTGGCTTCAACTATTAAAATGAGTTACCTGATTTATTTATATTATTGTTGTTATTACTATTATTGCGTATATGTTAATGTAAGTGACCTACCTTAACCTCGTCACTACTTCGTCGAGGTTAGGCTCGACACTTACCAGTACATGAGGTCGGTTGTACTGATACTACACTCTGTCCTTCTTGTGCAGATTTCAGAGTTGGTCCCAGCGGCGTACCATAGACTTACTCGGATTCAGCTACCAGTGGAGACTTGAGGTATAACTGCACGACGTTCGCAGTTCTGAAGTCCCCTTCTACTTTATTTTAGCTGTGTGCTTTCTTTCAGATAACTTTATTTCGTTCAGACCCTTGTTTGTATTATTCTAGAAGCTCGTGCACTTGTGACTCCAGTTCTGAGATGGTATTTAGATATCACGATTATTATGGATTAATTACTTTACTTCAGACTTTATTTCCGCATTTGTTCCCTTGTTATTAATTAATTTAAAATTTTGTTAAAATGATTAATTATATTATAACGTTGGCTTGTTTAGCAAGTGAAATGTTAGGCGCCATCATGATTTCGAAGGTGGGAATTTCGGTTCGTGACAATCACTCTCTTTGTGTTTACATGCTTCCTATACTCATTCCCTTAACATAATATAAATAGTTATTTTTTTAACCAAAAAAGAAGAAGAAGGGTGGCAATTTTGCAGAAAAAGGAACCGTAACGGCCATTTTCTATTTGACTTTTGTTAGTGGATCGATAATATGTGGAATGAAACTAAAAATAAACTTACGGCCATTTTCTATTTGACTTTTGTTAGTGGATCGATTTCACATTTTTGTGCTTTGTTAAAGCATCTCCATGGAAAAGCATTGTTGATAGAGTACAAGCGAAAAAAATTTAATTCCGTAATATTAATTAGCATAATCAACTTAAATTGGTATGCGATTACCCGGGAATTAGGGATGGATCAATATGAGAAAAACATTGTCACAAGGATTTTCATACATAAACTTTCTTTTCGATTCAATTTAATATTGCGATCATTTACGATAATGATTATCGTTACTCTCATATATTTACTATAAAAAATATGTCTAATTAAGCTATTAATTTATGTTGTATTCTTAAATTAGATGGTAATGGAACTTATTAGTTGAATTTTATTTTACATTTTTATTTGTAAGTTTCTAATTTTACCTTTGTTTATGACAATAGTTCATGAGCAGTGCATCACTTCTTTTTATTTTTGTTATTATTAGTAGTAGAAATGCGCAAAGAAGAATCTAGTAAATGAAAGATATCAGCTCTCTTTTTTCGATTTCTTTAACAATAGCGTGAAGAGTGAATAATTTCACTAGCATATATAAAAATTTTGTTGTTCATAGGGGTATGCCTTTTTGATTAGTTATGATCAATCGTAATAGATTCAACAAAAATAAATAAAAATCATAAAAATCTAGAAGTATTTGATTATGCGTAAATGTTCTTCTTATAATATATTGATTGATACATTTTCTTCACTATTTAACGCATATGGACATTACTGTCACGGAATGCAAAATTTAATACCTTTATGCATATATTATCACATGTATCATTTATGTATTAGAATATGTTTTAAAAGATATTCCATGACGTCATAGCTATACGAACATAGTGAAAATTATCATTATATGATCTTGATTTCAGAGACGCTAATTTTTTTTGTTTCTTTTATTTCAGTTAGCTGGTAATTGAACGCGGCTATTCAAAGATATAAATCGTTTGGTACCAAAATGTAGATTTTTCCTTTCCCCAACTAATGAATTAACCAAAACGAAACAAGGAAAGGGAAGGGAAAAATTCTTATGCTTAGAAAAATTCTTATTACATAATTTTGCTACTGTCATATCATTTTTTACCCCAAAAGATATATTATACGTGTGATACGTGGGTTAAAATTTTTTTCAATTAAAGTGACAAATTTAAATAGAGATTATTTTATTTACAGAGTCGCCACTTGAAATTGATTTTTGAGTGTTCCAAATCACCTTTTATTTGATCCCTAGTCAAAGGAAGGTTTGACTCTACTTTTATTGGTCTGCGAAAATATGAGACCGGGTAAGAAATTCTGTTGACGGGGGAAAAGGTGTGAGGCACTCCCTGAATCCCATAGTTCTAGCGCGATCGCTTTAATGACTTAAACTTGGCTTGAATTAATTTTAAATAAGTTGTGTTTCATTTGATTTTCATATTCTGCCTAAGTCCGCTTTTAACTCTTGAAGACTTTATCTATCTCAACTAGGACGAGTATATCCGATCCTAGCCTACACTAACCAAGATGAGTATTTCCGACCTTAGGTTGTGTACCACACTTAAATTAAAGCCTACTTAAACTTAATTAAATAAAAAACTTTATTTATTTGAAAAAATTTAACAAAATGTGTCTTCACGACCTTTTCGTTTTATTCTCTATTCCGAAGCGAATCTTCCCGACATCAGTTAAGACAAAATTATTTATCTTCGAGTGGCGTATTACCTCTGAGTTAGTCATGATTATTTGTGATTGAGTGATTAAATTATTTTAACTATAAAAAAAAATCTTTTTTTTAAATAAGTACTAGTACAAAAGAGTTAAATCTTAGTAATTATTTTGACTAAACTAGTAACTAAAAATTAGCGCCAACTATGGTATTACGGCCAAGGAGATATTTATTGGTTGCTACATATGTATTGAGTTAGGTATTATGGCATTGGGCCAGCTTTGATACTAAAGAGGAAGTGGGCTAATAGCTAAATGAAAAGAATGGGCCAGCAGTTTGTTAAAAGAAATTATGGGCCTCATCTTATTAATTGTCATTGGGCCAACCATTATTTAAAAGAAGAAGAATTAATCAACTTATGAACTTTATTAACATTGGGCCTGCTGAAATTATTTTTATTTGGCCCATTATTAAATTTGAAGGTTTTCAAATGGCAATTAAAGGGGACCAACTTTGGTTATTGCTATGCAGATTAATCAGTTAAGTGAATGAATGATTTACCAACTAAGTTACTTCAAGCAATCACATATAGAACTTAAAGCTAGTTAACATCATGTGAGTTTATTTGCCATTTTGAAAGAAAGCTATTGCAGACCCAAAGCGAGCATGAAGCCTTCAACGGGGAAATGATACATAACCAGAACTAATATTTGTTGGGTTTAAGCTTGATTTAGCTTAAAATGAGGTGAATGGGGAATGGAAGGGAAAAATAAAAATTTGATTTTCCCTCCTTTACAAAGGAACATAAGAACCGTAAGTACGACAATAACAATTCAAGGTAAAGACATGAAGATATCTGCAAGAAAAGGATATCACAACATAATGCATGTCCCTCGTCCTCACTTACACGGAAACATCCTTCGTGCCATGAACTCGCAATAACACAAAAGCATGATAATATAAATGTCATGGCACGACATCACCCTTCGTGCTTTTACTCACATAACATGGCACGACATCACCCTTCGTGTTTTTACTCTCAATAATATGGTACGGCATCACCCTTCATGTTTTACACTCTCCCTCACATGATAATGTATAAACAATGGCGCGGCATCACCCTTCGTGCTTTACACTCTTCCTTACCAGGCATATGTATATCAATGACAAATAAGGCAGGAAGCATAAATAATATCAAGGAGAGTATTTAAACGAATATTCCAAATGAATCCTAATCACAACTTTCCAAGCCAACAATAGTTCAATAAACCCGCTAGAACTTTATTATTCAAGTATTCCAACAAATCTCACAAATGATCCACTACACAAGTATAGAATCTAGTATCTCAAGAATATCGGTCGTAGCAATGTATTAATGATTATGCATAATGATGACCGAATTAGACACATCAATGTGTTCTCAGAAGTCCATCAAATTTGATCAAGTTATAACAAGCTAACTCTTAGTTCCTAACATTTAATACTATGATCTTAGTATCTAGGAGTCAAGTAAGGCATGAAACAAGAAGGTCAAGTAATTCTACAAGACACAATTTATAACATAATTTACCCCCGAACATGGTTAACCCTGGCACATGCATATATGCTCGTCACCTCATATATGTACCACCCCCGCATGTAACAAACAATGTCAAATAGTAGAAAAAATTTCCTCAACAAAGTTAGGCAAGACACTTACTTCAATTCGGCTAACTCAATATTCAATTTAGCTTTTTCCTTTACAAATTCGCCTCCGCTCGGCTCAATCTAGCCAAAGACGACTTAAATACATCACACAATGCAAGAGAAAATAATTTTAATTATTAAAGCTGTGATTTTTATTCAATTTCTAAAAAGTCAACTCCCTGGCCCGCCCGGTTGAAACACGGGTCCAAGGGTAGGTCTTGACTACCCACAATCTCACAAGTCCAAATACGTCTTTTGTTTCCAAACCCGAGTCCACAACTCTCAAATCCAAAATTTTTATTTTCAAAGTATTGACAAAATCCCCAATTTTTTTTCTAGATTTCTCATGAATTTGATGTTAAATCTTATATAAAATCATGAAATGTAGTTGAGAATTGATTAGAGGTACTTACCCAATGATTTGGTATGAAGATCCCTTCATAAAATCGCCTCTCATCGAAGCTAGGTTTCAAAATATAACAAAATGAAGCAAAATCTCGGAATTCTCAGCATTTCACAGGTTGCAGATGTCGCATTTACGACAGGGAGTTCGCAAATGCGACCTCCGCAAATGCGGACAAAACATCGCAAATGTGACTCCTGACAGACCATGCCTTCATCACAAATGCGATACAGAGTTCGCAAATGGGAAACTCTTCAGGCTTCGCAAAAGCGACAACTTCATCGCAATTGCGATCCAGTCCCCAGCAACCCAAGTTCACAAATGTGAGGCTGCTGCGCAATTGCGATAGTCGCATTTGCGACAAAAACATCGCAATTGCGATGATACCAGTACCAGCACTTAAAATCATGAAAAAAATCATTCCGGATCCAATCTGAAACGCACCCGAGCACTCGGGGCTCTAAAACAAATATGCACATAAGTCTAAAAATATAACACGAACTTGCTTGAGCGTTCAAAACATCAAAATAACCTCTAGAATCATGAATCGGATGCCAAAACGCATGAAGATCAAAGGAAACTTCAAGAACTTCTAGAATCGCAACCAAGCGTCCGAACCATATCAAATCAACTCCAAATGGCACCAAATTTTGAATACAAGTTCCATATGACGAAACGAACCTACTCGAAGCTTTAAATCACGCATATAAACCTCGAAACGACGAATCACACCTCAAGTCAAAATCAATGAACTTAGAAACTTTAACTTCTACAACCGATGCCGAAACCTATCAAATCACGTCCAATTGACCTCGAATCTTTTACACAAGTCACATTTGGCATTACGGACCTACTTCAACTTTCGAAATTGAAATCCGATTCCGATATCAAAAAGTTCACTCCCGGTCAAACTTAAAAAAAAATCCAAATTTTGCCATTTCAAGACTAATTCGACTACGGACCTCCAAATTACAATCCATACGCACTCCTAAATCCAAAATCGCCCAACGGAGCTAACGGAACTAACGAAACTCTATTCCAAGACCTCAAACTACCGAGCGAAGTGCAGATGCTCAAAACGACCAGTCGGATCGTTACATATTAAAATATGGATATGGTCAAATCACGCTACAATTAGTATTTAAGAATCCTAGTATTTAGTTACTAAACACATATCGAAATAAGTTTTTTGGAAAAACGCCGACGTAGTACTAACCTAGAGGATATAAATTACATTTATGTAATAACATGTAAAATATGTTAAATAATTTGATTAAAAAGTCACTATACAATATTAATCACTTAGTATATAAGAGATAGAAGAATAAAATCCAAATAGGTATATCCATGAATTTTTAAACAACAAACTAGAAGCATTGTAAAAATATAAAGAAAAATAGAAACTTCAGCTTTCCAAATACAAAGTCATATAAGAGCAGAATGCTTTAAAAGGCACAACAAATTAAAGAGAACTCAAATCTTCATCTTTTATCTTATTCATTTTTGGACCAAAATTACAATGGCAGTTGAGAGAATACCTGGATAGCAGAAACAAAACATTTCAGCTATTCTAGAGTCATGTTTCAACAGCTAGGAGCAGAAGCCAAAACAAAGGCATTACTTTTAATCGAAGTGGAAAACAAACTCAGCAAAAGACAACAACAAACCAACACCTTGAAAATCAGCAACTTAAAGGACAAAAAACTCAGAAATGACTTACCAACTTTATGTTTTTGAAAGGTTTTTTCTCTCAATTTTTAGTTACCAAAGGATGCTTGAAATATGTATTCAGGTGATTGTTTCGCTCTCAAATTGTGTGATCAAAAAATTGATGTGGAAGATGTGTAGTAGAGTTAAAAAAAGATCCTTTGAAGTGAGGAAAGAACTCTTCTTTATAGGAGAGGAGGGCCTTGAATTAATGATGAAAATCTGTTCAAGTGACAGATTTTTAACCAAAGATCTGTCTAAACTATTCAATGGTCAGTTCTCTGGCCAAAAATCTGTCCATAGACGGTATTTTACTAACTATAATGTAACGACCCGGCCGGTCATTTCGAGTATTACAATCCCGTCTCTCCCATTTATTGCTCAATTTATGCTTTACAGTTGTTATATGACTTGCCGGGGTAATTGGTTCAGGTCCGGTGAGGTCTTGAAATGAATTGAAACACTTAGTTCCAAAGTTTAAAACTTAAGTTGAAAAGGTTGGCTGGATGGTGACCTATGTGTAATGACCCCGAAAAGTTTTTGCTAAGAAAAATAAGGTTTTATGGTGCCGAGGTAGATTAATTAGTACAAAGGTTGTAGAATGCACTTAAGTGTTGAGAAAAATTTTTGACAAAAGAAGGACGTTCTGCGGTCTGTTTCGCGACTGCAGAAACGTTATGCGGACCGCGGATTTATCGCAGAACGAAGTAGAAACTCAAGCAATTTTTGAGCCATTATGCGGTCGCAGAAGTGTTCTGCGGTCCATTCTGCGACCGCAGAATCAGTATGCGGATCGCATAATGGACGCATACTCGGGCAGAATGTGCCCAGTTCCCAAGGTCCATTTTGCGGCCCATTTTGTGGGCCGCAGATGCATTATGTGGTCGCATATGCGACCGCAGATCCTGTCCCGGAGCTTCATTTTCTGGTTTTTATAACCCGACCCTATTGGGATAAATAGCCTTTGGGGCTCATTTTGAAGGAAAAAATCTGATATTTTAGAGAGAAGTGAGAGTGTTCTAGAGAGAGGAAGAAGCTCAAGTGCTTTGGTCATCAAGATCTTGTTCAAGCTTTGAAATCCAACAAGAAATATCACAAGATCTTCACCCAAAAGGTAAGGTTCTAACCCTAGTCTTCAATTTCGAGTTTGGGTAAAGATGAGAGATTAGGAGTATGATTCTTGGGTGTGAGAGTATTATTTATTCATACATGTACCAATAAGGTTTGTGGAAAGATTGTTGAGTTCAAATGGGTAAAGATTGGGTTGAAAATGGTAGAAATCTTCAAAGACTTTAATTTAGGATTTGAGGGTCGAGTTGATGTCGGAATTTGGTGAAATTTATATGGCTAGACTCGTGGTTGAATGAGCGTTCATATTTTATAACTTTTGTTGAGTTCCGAGATGTGGGTCCCACGGGCGATTTTTGAGTTAATTTTTGGATTTTATTGGAAAATTTGTATTTTCATATGGAATTAATTCCAATGATTCGTATTGACTGAATCAAATTAATTGTGACTAGAATCGAGGTGTTCAGAGGCCAATTCGCGAGGAAAAGGCATAGCGAAATAAAGAATTACACGGTTTGAGGTAAGTAATATTTTTAAATTTGGTTGTGAGGGTATGAATCCCCAAATTTTGTGTTATATCAAATGTTGGAGGTGACGCACATGCTAGGTGACGAGCGTGTGGGCATGCACCATAGAAATTGTGACTTAAATAAATTTCGTGGAGTTGTAAAATTAAAGAATCATGTTATTATCCGAATATTCAGCACGTGTTTGGGAAATTGAGCTGAGACTCGTATTAAAGATCATGTTTAGGCTATGTGCCGATATTTTGGGACCCATAGGGTCGTGTTGCTGTTGAATTTAATTGTTTAAAAATATACATGTCATACTCAACCATGTTCATCCATTGTGAGAATATTTATGAGATCGAGGCTGCCCGCCTGTAGCAGGACATATTGGCTTTATATATATTATTATTCTATGGATCAGGGCTACCCGCCTGCAGCATGACTTATAGGTTTTATCATTGTATGAGTAGGGGCTGCCCCCTACAGCAGGCCATACCGACTTTATATCACGCTTGGGCTGAAGGAGCCCCTCCGGAGTCTGCACCACCCACAGTGAGCGTAGATGATATATATACGGGATGGATTTCCCAAGTCATGAACTTGCCTTACTTATTTATAATTGTGATGAATATCCCTGGACATGGATTTTGTCCGAATCATTTACATTTGGGGATAAATTGCCCCAGGGCTGGATTGGCCTCATACGATACTGAATGACTGACTGCTAGTCGATGTGTGTGTGTGTGTGTGTGTGTGTGTGNTTATCTTAATTGTACTGAGTTTAACTGTTGAACTTGAAAGCATACTTTCATTTCTGTACCATTATTTCTATACTGGACTGTACCTGCGGAGCTCGTCATTACTTTCAGCCCAGAGGTTAGTCTTGTTACTTATTGAGTTGGTTGTACTTATACTATACTCTTCACCTCGTGTGCAGATCTAGGTGCTTCCGGACATGACAACTGTTAGATATCAGAGTGTTATCAGTTGGAGACTATCAAGGTAGTTGCCTAGCATCCGCTGACCTTGACTCTCTTCTTTTTAGTTATTGTACTGTTCTATATTTTCAGACAGTGTTTTATCAGTCAGAATTTGTTATCTTTTAGATGCTCATGTACTCAGTGATACCAGATTTTGGGAGTGTTTTATATATGTATTTGTGCGATTTTTCCACTGGATTTAAATATTATGTATTTACACTTAAAAGATATTGTGTTTTATTGAGGTTGTCGGCTTGCCTAGTATTGAGATAGGCGCCATCATGACATGCGGATTTTGGGTGTGACATATAAGTAGAATTTTTGGAGTATTGTACTCCTAATAGCGCACAAACAGTAAAAACTACCAATCTTGTACTATTTCTCTTTTAACTTTAGATTTATTCAACAAGTGACTGAATTTAAAGCTCAAACATTCAAACTCAACCAATCAGTGAATTGACAAGGCAAAAACAAGACTTTGAATCGTAAGTACATTCAACAATCAACCAGAACAATCGACTGGCTAGGTCGCACCAAATCAAATATTTAGATTAAACAAATACGAACGAACAAATGATCGACCGGCTAGGTCGCAAGCGAATTACAGGATTACAACAACTATTAACTAGATTCAACAGCTAATTAACTAAACGTTCGACCTGCTAGGTCGAGAAATCAAATTCATAATTCAACGAGTATAACAACCAAACGATCACACTCAAACACTAATAACTAGCAACAGTCACGAAACGAATGATGTAATTATAAACGAAAACAAAAATGTTAATGGAACTAACTGCCAAGAGAAGAAAAAGAAAAGAAAAGGGATACGAAACTACCAAGATTTACAACTGCTCGGGGTGACGACGAGAGGCTCGAAAAAACCTTTATCATTGATATACTACGAAACCAAAAATCCAATGATCCAAAGGTTGGTTTCAGTTTTAATGAATAATAGAGCCTTGCTCGATGTGGGAATGGAGGCAAATAGAGAATGTTTGGACAATGGTGATGGCTGTAGGGCAGTGATTGGCCGCCGGAGAAGTTCACCGAAAATTGGCTATCAAAATTCGGCTCCAAGACCAACGTCAAATGATTGATTTGAGGCAAGTTCTAAACGTCCATGTAAGTGGTATGGGGTGAAGTGGCATGAAAGCTCACGAATTTGGGAAAATATAAGGGATTAGGGTTTTAGATTTTTGCCTATTTGTGGAGACTGGTGAGGTATGAGGCTGAGTGTTGGCGAGTTAAGAACTTACATATCTAGAAGATGAAAGTAGCTGAAATGAGGAAGTTGAGGTGGATATGCGGGTACACTAGGATGGATAATATTAGGAATGAAGATATTTGAGAGAAGGTGGGCGTGGCTCCCATGGTTGACAAGATGCGGGAAGCGAGGCTCAGATAGTTCGGACACGTACAAAGGAGAAGCCCAGATGCCTCTGTAAGGAGGTGCGAGAGGTTGGCTTTGGTGGGTACGAGAAGAGGTAGATGGCGGCCTAAGATGTATTTGGGAGAGGTGATAAGGCAGGTTATAGTGTGGCTTCAGATATCCGAGGACATGTTTCTTGACAGGAAGTTGTGGTGGTCGAGCATTAAGTTGTAGGTTAAGATGTAGTTGAGCATATTTCTAATTTGTACCAGTGTGACCCTAGTCTGATAGGATTTTGTCTTAGACTGCTAGTGGTCAATATTGTGTTCATACTACTTTTTTATTTGCATAGTGCTGGGCCTAATTTACTGGTTATTATTTTTGCTTTTCATCTTTTTCCTGGTTCTTATGATGTTGTTATTATTTCTATGGTTTCTGTTGATGGTACTAATATATTGTCTCTTTACGTCTTCTTGAGCCGAGGGTCAATCGAAAATAACCTCTCTACTCCCTCGGGGTAGGGGTAAGGTCTGCGTACACACTACCCTCCTCAGACCCCACTTATGAGATTTTATTGCGTTCTTGGTTATTGGTGGGGATTGGTGAGGTTTTGGAGGATTTGAGTTGAAGATATAGAAAGAGGAGAGGGAGATGAGGAGATGGTGAAGTTTTGAGGTCGATTGGAGCTTCGCCGCCGCCAATGGCGATTTTNGATGGCTATAGGGTTTGAGAGTGAGAATATGGCCAAAAATTAAAATTTGATTTCTAAAGTTATATACCTCAAATGACATCGATTTTGGGCCGTTGGATCAAAGAAAGTATTGAATCAACCAACCAAAATGACGTAGTTTAATCGCGAAACTACGTAGTTCCGAGCTCCTCTCCTGGCAGCCCATTTATGGAGTGGCCTATTGCATTTTTAGTCCCTTAATCATTTCAACTTTGGCCTAATCCAGCCAGATTCTGGGAGAAAAGGCCTAATCCCTTAATCTTTCTAAATTTGCCTTAATTAAAACCAAATCATAATAAACCACTAATCCTAAAATATACATAGAATGAAAAATATTTTGCTATATTTGTGGAATAAAAATGCAATTAAAGTGCACATATTAAGGGAAAGTAGCTAGAAATTAACTAAATATCAACTCAAACTAAAAATGTAGGAGAATTAAAAGCATGCAAAAATTAGGTATTTACTGCTATTGTGGATTTCATAATTTATTTATTAGTTTTGATAGCATCAAAAGAATAAACTGATTTACTTATCGTAACCGAATTTTTGAAATCATTTTCTTTTGATTAATGAATTGATAGAGGAAATGAGGTTTATGCCATAACAATGTAACCCATTTTGCACTTGAGAATAGAATTGGCTTTTGGTAAATTTCTAGACTACACTTAAAAATAAGATTCCTGGAAATGCCCCCACGTTGTAGTTATCTAGAGAATTAAATTACTACCACTACTACCATGTAAACACAAACACGCACATATACATTCAGCCATTATGTTCAATCATTTGGAAATTATGTACATGAAACAACAAACCAAGTATTATGGCATCAGATTTGTGGTTTGTGTGTGTGCATGTATTATGTGTTGCCACATGGATTTGCATGCAGTAGAATTTTTTTGTTAAGCGTGTTAATTTTCTAGGATAATTACTCTTTGTTTCATTCAAAATCTGTTGGAGAAAGAATAATTAACCTAGAAAATTAAGATACTTAATTCTATATAAACCAAAAGGTTTTGGAAACCAAAACGTCTCTTTGTCAACCAAAAATTAAAGGTCTCTTTGTAGTTCAAAGCTTTGCAAAGAAAAATAGTAGACAAAAAAAATAATGATAACAACGGCAGTGATCATCATTATAATTTTGATATTTCTGAAGTTGAAACCAAACCCATCCATAGATTTGTCAAGCACACCAACGGCAAACTCAACCATTTCTAAGACTGAACCA